TCGAATATGGGCATCTAGAAGCCCGAATTTGAAACTTGGAATTTACTTTATTATCAATTTTATATTTTGTAAAACTTTAACGAATTTCTGATTAACAAACTGAAGGATTTCAAAGCGAGCAATGGCAACTTTGTAAAGAAAAAACACTTTTATCTCCAGCGCATAAGACTATGTATCGGAAATTCTCAAGATATGATCAATTTCAAATTATTTTGCGATATTGCTTTTGAACTGAATTTTATGGTTTAAGTACAAAGAGCATGATATTTAATAAATAAAGGTAACAGACAAAATGTTAGAAAACGTTCCTTTGGACGTAATTTAAAAACTGAAACCTTTCAATATTTTTTTTTTTATTATTTTAATATTTGTGAAATTTTTAAATTTTGCCAAATTCGATAGACTTACGTATCATCAGAAAGTTATTTTTGAGTTTTGTAAAATATTAGTGTTAGAATATTAAATATCTATATAAATACATGGAAGATTCTCCGATTTAGTCAAAGAATAGAACGGAATACTCATGATGCTTTAAATTTATTGCTCATTTACTGTTTACTAAACAATAAAGTAGCTGACGTCTATAAATCTTATTCCAGAAATAAACGGCCATGTGGTAATTATCTCTCATTCCGGAAAGGAAATGGAGTCATTAGTAATCCTTTAACTGAACACTCTTCCTTTTTGCAATAATGTAAATATGCACACTAGGCAATAAAGCGAAAGAATAACCGAAATTAGACGCATAAAAGAAAATAGAATTCCATTTTATTCAATGGAATATTAAATAAAATCCCGCAAGCTGCACATATTTGGGAAACTTTTGCAAATAAATCAATTTAGGAGAACATCAGCCTGTATGGGATAATATTCCAAGGAGACCCTAGGGCAAATTCGGGCACAGAGTGACAAGGGAGGTTTCTATCATCTTTTGAAAGGGTTACCCGCTGCGGGAGATCTGAATTTAAAATGAAAGGAAATTTCAGTTTTTCGCGTAAAAAGCTTGACAGGAAATTTACACGTATTAAACCCATGCGACAGCTGTAGATGATGGATGCCATTGGCGTTTAGAAAGCCTTGTATTTCTGCCTCAAGAAGAAGACGTACCAAAAAAATGTGTTGATTGTAAGTTGTGGGAGGAACGTTCTTTGAATGGATGTACGAGGTGTGTTTGACAATCTTGGCGTGTTTTATTTAAGCCTTGTGATTTGTTTAGTGAAAGGGCTATGTATGTAAAATTGGTTGTTTGAACGTCATGATTAGAATAACAATGATAATCTTTCAACTCTCACTGCCGTTGTTTAGTGGTCTCAATTATGAAAACAACCTTGGTTTCAGATTAACACAAATATCTAAATAAGTTAATAAATTATATGAAATTTTCCCTCAGATTTTTCAACATGATAATAATGAAAATTGAATTAATACATCATCGTAAAATTTCTGACAAAAATATTTATAAGGCCTACATTCGTAATATGCATCTTAATAAATAATGTAATTCCAATTTTAAACAACTCAAATTTCATCTGGTGTTTTGATAGTTTTTCTAAGTTTTGGCTTGGAATATGTTTCCAGTATTATCACACTTTCATATGAAATTTATAAATCATAGAATTTACAGTGTGTTTGTAAAGAGATTAAAAAGTTTGACAGCCAGGAAGAAATTGTAAAAGATGCTGTACAGAACGAGAAATCTTAATAACAAGTTCAGCGTTTTAAACGTTACATAGCATAGCGTAGGAATGTCTTTAATTCGTTATATTTCTCTTCCTAAAAGTGAGTGAGTAGTGTACTCTATGTGCTAGCTCTTGCATCACATAAAAGTATAAGATAAATGCTTTTATTGCTCTTTATTCCTCTCTTCCAGAGTCATAAAATAATTTAGGTAAGGTCACAGGAGCTTCAGTATTCATATTGTTGAGTTCTACGGGTTCGAGGATTTGGAGTTATTGATGATAAGACTTGACGAAGGATGAAAACCTAATTCATTCGCCCATATTACACAGGACAGTTCCAAAGACGCTTTACAGTCTTCGGAAAGCTACGCTGAAACAATCAGCAACACAGACTTCAGGCTATAACGGGGGAGGCAACTTCATGGCAAAGCACTAACTCGATGGTGTAGATTGACCATCTGTTGGAATGTAATACTGATCATTTCACTTCTGGACATCTTCTGAGCTGTTTGGGACTTGTTAAAGAGGACCTATTGAAAAGACCTACCGCCGTATTGAAAATACTGATCACTCTTGGACTTACGGATATGGTTTAGGCTAGTGGTCAAGCCTCCAGTTAGTATCAGTAACAACAACGAGACATTCAAAATTTAAAAAAAAAGTACATAGTAAAATCGTGTAAGCAAAATTGAATGAAACATGAAACTTTTAAATACACAGAGAAAGCTTAATCAGATTGACTTGATGAGGCATGATTAGCTCTTCCCTTGCTATCTATATATATATAAAGAAGATTGTATGTGTGTTTGTTTGTTCGCTATTAACTCGGTCACTACTAAAGCTATTGTCACAAAACTTTCTACAGTTCTTTTTTGGATCCTGGAAAAGGTCGACGTCCATTTGTTTTCAAGAAAAAATAGCTCAAATCAGAGATATTTAATTAAAAACTCTGAAAACGCTAATTTTCGCACTCATTTTTTCCGAGTGGCAACAGTCTCGCGAGTTTGAGATAAAAATGATTTATTTCGAATCTATATCTATCTATATATCAATATATATAAAGAAGAATGTCTTCTTGTGCGTCTGTTTGTTCGCGTTATTGATTTCTGATCGATTATGATAAATCTTTTGCCACATTTGATCTACTAAAATTGAATATAGGGGTGTCCGCCGATAACATCGCCGCAAAAACATCGCGGACGAAAACGTCGCGGAGAAAACAACGCAAGGCGAAAACGTCGTGCTACAAAACATCGTGGGAGAACACATCGCAAAGAGAAAACATTCGCAGTTCTAAAACATCGTGGTACAAAACATCGTCGTCGAAAATAAAGCGGTTGGTTCAAAACTTCGCTGTTTAAAAACATCGTCGTCGAAAATATCGGTGTAAAAAATAAAGTATCTACAAATCATCGCATGACGATCACATCGCAGACATGCTTTTTTCAGGCTTTAATAACTGTAAATGGATATTCTCCATAATGATTTGTGAGCGCAAGATGTAAGAAGGATAATTTTTACTTTCATATTTTTTATTAAATATTAAATTTTTGATGAGAAATTAAGAAGAAAACTTAAGCATAGAAAATAATGCAACTTATAGCACTTAATAGAATTTTAAGTCGACATAGTTAACTAACAAAGACATTAATAAATAATTTTTATAAAGATTTTAACAGGTAATTTTTCATAAAAAAGTATAATCTATTAAGTTGCATTTAATTTTCTATGCTTAAGTTTCCTTCTTATTTTTTCAGCAAAAATTATTAGTTAATAAAAAATGTGAAAGTAAAAAATTATCCTTCCTTACATCACTTGCGCTCGCAAATCATTATGGGAAGAAATCATTCTCCAGATTTCGGTGTTTCACCGTAGCATATATATACTTTATAATAAATAATTATTATAAAGTCGAAGAGATAAGAAAACAACGATGAAGTAAATTTTAAGAAAAGAATTTACACAAGTTAATTATGAATAATTTTCTCGCTATGCATCCTGCCAAATAATTGCAAAATGCCAACTGAAAGACTTTGAAAGATAATTAATTACATTAAGATAATATTTTTGCTTATAATATTGCTGTTTGCTAAACTGTCTGAGCTATCTTAAAATTCATAAATTATAATTAATAAGTGACTGCCATTTATCACTTAAAACGCTCTTATAATGAATCCATTTGAATATCTGATGCCAGCTCTAAAACCTAATAATATTATAAATACTATATATCTAAAATTCTGAATTCTTGATGCAAGAATGGGAAAGAAAATTAGCTGTCCTTGAGGTAACATTATGTAACAAACGACTACTGGCTTTTAATTTAGGTACGGGAAGTAGAGAAAAAATAATTCTTCCTAACAAGTTTGTCTAAGAAAGTTCCTGTCAATGCTTAATAAATATCACCACTAGACATTATATGGTAATTAATGCATTCAAAGCGTTATCGCTCTTTTTTATCTTCTTGTACCAAGCAGTATTAATTAGGATTAGATGTAGACAAAGTCATCTTAAATGAATCATCTCTTATAATATTTCATTATGTAATATAAACTTTCTACGAATACGAGATGAGCGTACGTTTTAAGATTCTTTGTAGATAAAAACTGCAATATCACAAGCTCACGGCTAATGAAAAATACTTAAATTAGATTATATGGATTCTATATAATGATGCATTAAAGTACTTATTACAAAGAGCTTTTAATGACAGATGCAGCTAACAAAACTCATTACGCATAGAGTTCTGCAGACTAAGTATTTCCTAATGGCACAGCATTTCGAAGTGAAGTAAATGGACTTAAAAATAACCCATATGTCTTAATTTGTTGTATTGTATATGTTAAGTTTCAAAACGTATTTTATCCTTCTATATAGGTGGCGCTGTGATCGCGCCAGATGTTTTACAGTTCATGTATTTTCAATTTTGTCCTGTGTTTGTGGCAACAGATTAAAAGAAACGAACATGTGAAAAATTCTGAGAGTGCATAAAGTCTAAATCTTTTTAATTTTGTGTCCTTATTTATCATGTCAAAAGTCCTACCTGTAACTAACAGGTCTATGAAAATTCAAAGTAAGCTATACAATAATTGTCAATTACTGAAATTACTATCAGTCAGATATAAAAACAGTACTTTGATCGGTATATAAAAAATACGAAATGTCTTATGTGATGAAAGGATACATGTTACTTAACAACTTAATTAACTTCTTTGTAGAATATTGTTACAAATTTTACATATATGTAAGCACTTTAGTGCCATTATATGTAAATCGTAGTATCTTTTCTATTATAAGGTATTTCTACCACCTTCTTAGCATGCCTTCGTAGTGTAGTGGTCAGCACGCTAGGCGCGGATTCCAGAGGTCCGTGGTTCGATTCCCGGCGAAGGCGTTGCTCAGTTTTCCCCTCTCCTGCTTTCAAAAATACCTAATGTTTCTACAGTGGCGCCCGATCTAAAAGGGTTTTGGATGATGATTCTCCGCCTCCAGGATTTGGCGATTGGGTCCCCTGATTCTCAGTCACCCTTTAAAAGGGGGGAGTATATAAGGTATTTCTACCGCCTTCTTAGCATGCCTCCGTAGTGTAGTAGACAGCATGCTGGGAGCGTATTCCAGAGGTCCGTAGTTCGATTCTCGGCAATGTCGTTGCTCATTTTCCCCTTCTCCTCCTTCCAAAAATACCTAATATCCTTGCAGTATAATGTCACATGAAATGACTTCCAGCAATGTCGAAAAATGGAAGGTATTGGAAATCTCGCTGCGGCCTGGGGGAATATTATATAAGATCTCAGAGAGCATCAGTTCTCAGTTTCTTTAGCTCAGAGCTGAGTTCAGAATATTGAGATATCTCCGTGCGAGCTTCGCATTTCGTTGTGTTTAACGATCTTAGTAGTTTGAACTGATTTTGATCTATCATGCTGAGAAGAGCTGAACGAGTACTTTTGGGAAAATATCCAGCCCTCTAAAACGTTTCTTTTGGGAAAATAAATTTTATCAAGCGAACATCGTTTCTTTTCGCCTCCAATCCGTTACTTAATTCAATCCATAACTTAGCATTACGAAGTAACTTTCAAATCAATTGTGCAATGAAGAAAGTTAGTTTGGCTAACTGTGGCTAAAGTGATATGTAAAAGGAGCTAAAGTGCTAACTGATTATTCAGCTGATTCTTCTTAAACATGTTATAGCGCTAGGGGTTGTTGTTTTTCGGGAAAGATAATGATTGTGATGCAGAAAAAAAAAAAAAAAAAAAGGTGAAATAGACAGAGATACTACACAATAAAAATATAAAAGACAACAATTCGTGTTCTAAATAGAAAACTGGTTTCTTTAACACTTTGGTGATTTCGAGATTAACACTTCGGCTGCCTCGGCTCTTCGGCAAAATTAAATCATTATTTCTTTACAAATACACGCGATATCTGTGAATCGTAAATTTAAAACGCTAGCTATATGCGTTTGCGCTCACTGCGGTGCGTAAATAGATGTGAAATGAACTCGCTAATGAATATCAGTAGGTTTGGTTTATTTGCAAAGGACGCAAGGACTATCCGCCTGATGAGAGGCATGCCTTCGTGGAGGACGTTTTAAGGAAAACTGGCTCGTATACAAGTTCCACATGGGGAAACCTCCGAAAATACCCATGCAGCCAGCCTGTTCGCCGAGATTCAAATTACGGGCCGAACTACCAGTATTCAGCGATTTTACCGCTCGGCCACTGGTGGGCGATGAGCATCAACAGATATATTGGGTACTACATTCTTAAGTTTCACAGATGCTAATATTTTACTAAGATACATTTAATATTTTTATTCTTATTTTTACCATATTTTAAATAAAAAATCTTAATCATAAACAAAATTATTTTGTAAAAATCAATATTTTTTAAAGTTCTTAGATTTATTTCAATAACATTTTACAAGGTATTATTTTCATCTGAATAGAACCATATATCATTCAGAAAGTTTCAAAAAATGGTTAGGCATGTAAACTGATATATTATAAATAGAAAATCTGAATTAATCGGAGCTAGAATTGCTTTATGTTGGGGAATTGGCTTTTTAGGCATACATAAGCTTATCCTCCAATTCCCGCATATTAAATCAATATCACCAATGGCAAAAAAAAAAAAAAAAAAAAAAAAAAAAAAAAAAAAAAAAAAAGGATGAAGCATTAAGTTAATAGTTTCATAAAGTCGTTAACTCCCAGGAAATACTGAAAACGATCCTCGGCTTTAGGGTCATTTTTCTATCTAATGTAAGTCGGTTTTGTTTTTATATACCATTTCAAACCTATCTCTGTGCACACGTTAAAAAACATATATTTTCCTTTCGTTCTGATCCATTAAGATCGGCCTATACTCTTCGCGGCAAATGTCTCTAGAACTTTAATGCATCCGGAAAACGACTTTACGCTGTAATATATCATACTTCTTTCCACGCGCTTTTGCCAGAAACAGGGGAAATAGCATTTTCATTCGATGACGCTTAGTGTGATATTAGTTCTTATTCTTTAACTTCATTGGTTTGAGAAAGATGGAAATGAAGTTTCTTTGTGCAGATTTAAAATTTCGTAGCAATTTTTAAAGAGGCGGTCGTCTGAACTGCTTACTTTCTGAGCAATTTTGGGTTATTATAATTATAAATAATTATTGGACTGAATATTAGATAGGATCGTTTGAAGTGATATATCCAAAATAAAAAAAGGAAATGTATGTGGTTACGTTACTAAACTTAAATACCAATAACTTCTGAGTGACCATACAAGACTGTCAGACCACCTCTTTGTCTTGTTTGGATGCTAGTTACAAGTAGAAATATACCTCCATGGAGTACTAAATAGCCATCGGATATACTCTGGTGTGTAAAATTTCAAGAATGTCCTTTTGGTGCAGCTGCGTCAGAAACGGATTTGAAACTGATCATTGGAAGAAACAAAAAGAGAAATTAATCTAAATAAAATCTTGTTGTTTTTTCCACGTGTCTTATTCCACATCTAGACCAAGTCCACGAGCCGAAGAATTTTCAAAAAATCATAAATGAGAATAGGACTCATAAAAAGGTCAATCGTATCAAGATCTGCACAGTTGAATATGTGATCGGGAGACGTCTGCACAGGCATGTGAGAAAGTATTTTACCCCAGATCGAATGAGAGACAACTGATGTGCCCACTTGCGAGCCTGCCAACGGTGGACTGAATGATTCTTTCAGCCTTGACTGTAAGGGCACCATTGGAGCCTGCCTATTATACCAGGGATGAACTGGAGGGATTCTTCATAGCTGCTAATTGACATTTCTGTCTTGGAGCAGATCTCTAAGAAGGTCAAAGAATGATTTGAAATCGACACTTCAGAAAACACCAATAATGATTTTAAAACAAAGATTTACTTTTAAAAGCATTATTTGAAACTAAGAAATGCACATGGAGTAAGAATAATGAAGTATAGCGTTAATTGTTTTCATAATAAACTTTGCTATATATGCTGTGATATATTCTTAATTCAATTGCAATAAAACCTTAGTTCAGTTACGATAGAGCCCACATATTTTAAATGTGTCCCTCCGCACTCGAAGCCATTTTCACTCGGCCGAGCGAACAGCAACTCGAAACGATTTTCTGCCCATTTGATGAATTTCCTTTAGCTAACTTCAAATAAGTGAACAGACAGTTTAAAGAAATCTAATGGTTCTTTTATGTCTGAAGACGAATTCAATGCCAGCAAAATTACTCCGAAAACCTTGACAAGACTTAGAACTGGCCATTTCAGAGGGATGAGAATCTTACCAGTCAAAACAGGAACCTACACTGTCTGCTGAAACGACCCTGAAATCCAACTTGGACCAGACCACATCTTCTTCTGTTCTGCCATCTTGGCTGCAGTGCAGAAAATTAGTGATTGCCCCCAGGAAGACTTACATGGAGCAAATTACCTCGAGATAGCTAAGACGGTTTGCTTTGCCCATGCTACCATCTAACATACTTCATGGGCACTACAACAAACAAACATGCCTGAAGATACATGCTGTCCTACGGCCTTTTCGTAGAATACAAACGACTTTGCAACAAACTTTGCGATATTTCTTCGGATTCTATGCGAGTTACCCATTCTGAATTTTTGTCTCTTTTGCGAAATCACTGTCGCTTTCACATTCACTATCTATTCCCCTGATTTTTCGCCTTCTTACACATCTTACGTCATTTCTGTCTCCATCCTTGCTTTCTTCCTCTTATCGAAGTGATCTATGCACAGATGTTATTCCGTTCCTCATCAACGAAATATGAACTCATCTTTACATGAACCGTTTCCTTCCCCATATTCCATGTTTACTGAGCTCTGTAACTTTAAAAAAAATATTTATATTGGCCACGACTGACGAGTTCGAACTAACGTCGAAGACGTATATACACTGTTCGACATTGAAAGTGCAACACCAAGAAGGAGTGGTCAGAAAGTGATGAAATTTGGAAAAAAGGCAGAGACAGCAAGCAACAATAAGTGATCTTTATTTCAAAATGATAGTCAGAATACAGAGCGAGAACGGCGTCGGCTCAGTAGGATAAGCGATAAGTGACGGGGGACGTGGGCACCTTTACCGTAGTGGTTAATCAGTACAGCACCACGCCCACCATATAGAGAACAGCATTAACATATGTAACTAGTATTACAAATCAAGCATGGTTCGATGCACAAAGCAGGACCAATTACATCTAGAAGAATAGGATATAAACTATGTAACATATGAGCGTCCACACTATCTTCACAAGTGATGCTATACCAGAGGTACATATACATACGCATACTGAAAATGCGTGCACATATTATGTAACATATAAGATGAAATAGTACACTAATTCAATATAGAAATGCGGATGTAATACATAGAGCAAAGAGCAGTAATGGAATGTACAGTCATACGTATAAGACAGGCGATACAGTCAACTGCTAATAAATAACTTGTAAATTACTATAGGGTGCAACTACTGTATGAGAAGAGATTGCAATCTTACAGTTGAAAAATGAATACAACATGTACATATTTATATAGTGTTACTATTGTGGCATAAAACGATGTACATAGCAGGAGTAATTACATCTTCGGGTGGCAGATATAAACAACATAACATATACAGATTGTTATTGGCTCAGGATATATGGTCACTTTACTTAACCTGTTCCGCCAAACTGAGTTAATGGCACTACAGGGTTAGGAAGTTATCCTATTCATTGCTAGCAATCTGACGGTTAGGCCGCCTTTCTACATTTTACTTTAATCTGTAGTTTCTTGGATATAATTATTTTCATTCACTTGCTTCATTATCTCTAAGATGCCCTTGTTGCAGTAATAGTCCGTGAACAGTCTGTTCACAGGATATGTGATGTAGTCGGAAGGAA